ACTACAGCCCTAGTGGGCCTAGGCCTACCTCCATGAACTTCTCCGTTCACTTCGGTTTTTCTAGATCTTACACATACGGTAGGACTCCTTGGGCGGGTGATCAGCTCATCGCAAGGCGTCTACCTGTACACAAACACAGAAAAGCGCACACACACAAACTAAACATCCATGCCCTGAGTGGGATTCGAACCCACGATCCCGGTTTCCAAGCGAGCGAAGACAGTACATGCCTTAGACCGCTCGGCTACCGTGACCGGCCCCAAACGATCTCTCTTAACGCTTATTATGTATCTACATGTAGGTCCTAAAGAGTCCTTCAAGTACGAGACATTTTCCAATGTGAGATGTTGGTGGCACTTCACCCAACTCCCCAAGCTGACTGATCAAACACATCCACTATGTTCGGGGGGGGGCATTACACCCGAGAAAGAGCTGTATGTAGATTTACTCGTATTTAAGCAACAAACGAATATAAAAGTAAAATATTTATGTCTGAAATTACAGTTACATACTTCTGTAACCTGTGATTACTGTTGAGGGATGCAGACTCTCCAACGAACTAATTAACTTCACAGAGCTGAGTTTCTCTATAGAAGCTTATAGTTGCTTAGATACCCAAGAAACTGCCGGCTTTATGGAATTCGAAAATTTCATTATCTCATTCACAAGAGCTCACCACTGGTCCGTATACTAAGCCAGATTAATCCAGTCGACATCCTGCTATTACATTAATGCCCTAAAACAAACCTCCCATCTATTTATAGTTAGTTTGTTCTTGTTAAAACAAATGTTNTGGGACTGGGGCACGCGGTAGCGTAGTTGGTTGAAGTACTATGCTACAAGACGGAAGGTCGCGGGTTCAAGTGCCGATGAGGTCATTGGATTTTTCAATTGACCTAATCCTTCCAGCCGCACTATGCCCTGGGGTTGACTCAGCCTCTAACAGAAATGAGTNATGTAATAGTGGTTTCTAACTGTACTGATGTAAAGGTGTTCCTCTGAAGATGGTGTCTGAAGACCGAAACATGTAAGGGCATGAATAATTGAATTAAGAAAATCATAACTAGTCACACAGAACAGAACTATTTAAATTTTTCACGGTAATGAACCTTCAGATTCCATAAAATATTGGAAATGTCTTGAGTAGCTGAGCTCCTATTGACATCTCAAGGAGTTCTCCGCTGCATGGAGTTACTTATTCTGACATTTGCACGGACAAAGTTAAGACACGAAAAGCTTCAGTCACGATTCTCGGTTTTAGGACCGAGATTTGAAACCATGACGTCCTGAACACGAAGCAGTTAGTTACCCAGACCGTCGATCTTCTGCATTTATCAGTAATACTTTTTTCGCTGAAGACAGAACAAGAACAGATCAGGCGCGGTCGGATATGGCCGCATTCCGCCTGGGAACATGGCGCGGGGAAAGCAGGAACAGCTGAGGAGCACATGGCGATTATGTCAGCACTTCAGACACTCGCTCGCCGCACATCCGTCAGCAGGAACACCCCCCCCTCTCCCCACCCCCCTTGTCTGAGCAACATCGCATTCTTGAGAACTTTTCTGTCAGCGCTTCCCCACAGCAATGATTCTAAATCTGTTGCATGAGTATACAAGCCGAAACGAAAGTTGTATCTACAGGGCGGCCACTCCTGCTTCGTATTTTTGGCGGTACTGGGTTAAAATCTCGGCTCTAAGATCTGCTATACCGAGTACTGAATACTTTACAATTTCCTTTTACATTTTGGACGCCGGAGTGAGTCTCACTCGCCCTCACGACTTCCCATTTTGTTTTTTGGTTTCGTAATGTGGGATGAGGGTGAACAATATTAAAATGGATCTTAGAGAGATAGGATGGGATGGGATGAATTGGATTGATCTGGCTCTGGATAGTGACCAGTGGATGGCTCTTGTGAACACGGTAATGAACCTTCGGGTTCCATAAAATGCTACGAAATTCTTGAGTACCTGCAGATTTGGCTTCTCCTCAAGAAGGGCTCAGCTCCTTAAGTGTTATTTTTTTATTGCTAGTGGGGTAGGACTAAGTCCCTTGTACTGCGGCCACTTCTGGCCTATTCTACCAGCCCCAGATGATAGGTGAGGGTGACTGTGGAGCAATTTGTGGAATGAAGAGTGGCAGGGGAAACCGAAGTACTCGGAGAAAACCTGCCCCAGCGTCACTATGTCCACCACAAATCCCACTTGACCAGACCCGGGATCGAACCCGGGCCGCCACGGTGGGAAGCCAGCGACTAATCGTTTTAGCTATGACGCGGCCTAAGGGGGAGGGTTACTCGCCCAAACAAATGTTTAATGTTAAGGAGACTGGGCCGCCTGCCGCTACAAGCTCTCTACACCTCTGGACGTCAGTGAATACTAAATGTTACATAAACATTAGTGTAGTTCATAACTGCAAGAACATACAAGTACTTTCAATCATGCTCACATTTCCTATATCGCACTGCGTGTTATGAGGGTTGAAGAAAGGCAGAGGAACGTTACCCGCTTAATTCTTAAGTTTCTTATGGTAAAAATGGATCCGCTTAACGCCGTTTCACATAACGTCGCGGTTTACAACGGCATAAAAGTAAAGGTAACGTTTCCCTTATGCTTAATTATTTAACCACCACGCCATGGAGACATGTGTGGGAGTGGAGGCATAGCTCCACCACTCTTGGCCTCGACACTAGATGGAGATGAGTAGTCAGCTTCACGACCCGGCTGCTTTACCCCCGGGGATATGAAGATGGGTGGGGCCCAAAGCCAGTCTGGACGAAAAATCCCTTCCTCCTGCTGGCAACAGTACCCCGGCCGTCCAGCCCGCAGTTCTGTCCCTATACTTACTGAGCTACCCCAACAAACTCCTTACAAGAACGTGTTGTGGCGTATAGACCCGTTGCTGGGCAGAGACCTCGAAGCAGACAACGAGCCATGCCTGCTCGGTAAACACGTTCCCGCTTCAGCGTTTTTGCATGTAACGGCGGGAAAAGAGGTATTCTCTACGCGGTCCGTGCCGAGGAGTTATGAAAAGAAGAGAACTGGGGCAACCAGTCGGTTGAGCACTGCAAGGGAGGCTGAGAAAAGACGGCACTATAATTGGGTTGACAAGAGCTCTGCAAGGGCGGTTGTGCCAAGAGAACCTCAGCGCGTGAAGCTGAAGAATCTCCACTGCTACAAGTCGTCGCTAGGGAACGGCTGTTGGAGACATTGCAGGCTGGAGAAGACGAGGGTTTACTGTCATTATGTAAGCAAAAGCCGAAGGATCGCAAATAAGGATTTGAACTTCAACCCCAAATTCTACCGCGATATTCGCACTGGCACAAAGGCGAACAGCCGTGGCTGCCGTACATATTGGCTATGACACAGGTTAAATTTCGTAATTCTGTATCTGTTGATGCTCTCTTTGGTCTGCGGAAGGAACGCAACAATAATATTTCCGGCAGTACTTCACAGAACTTGACACGTGAAGTGCATTAATAAATTATTTTTATGAACACCGAGAAGAGTGGGCACTGCTCAGGCTATGAATAATTACGATCGTACCATGCAAGAAACTCAAGTGTCAAGCCTTCGGCTTTGCATTTCTTTATATATGTATTGGTATTATAAATTTATAGCTGCAAATCGAATCACATGACATACCATACTAAACACAGTGAAAATTACCTTTCCTTGTACTTTTATTAAACATCAAACATGTGTTGAGGATTCAATCTGCATATATTCACAGGCTCTGTATTTTATGTAACGTAGTGTGGCATGTAAACCCGCTGGTAAGTAACGACCGCGAAATAAGCTACTATACAACAGTAAGTAATGACTCTGCAAACAATGACCGTCGCTAGGCAATGGCTGAGTAGCGATCACGTGGGCATCCCAACAGACATGAACTCAACAACTACACTGCAACAGAGGAACGATGTTTTCTGTGCGTTCTCTGTCGAGATGTTATAAACAGTGTCTGTTATGCTAGTGTTCCACTAATACAAATTTCTGAAGCAAAGAGGATGGCCGATTTCTTGGCGAAATTTTCGTATTACTGGAAACAGTCGATGGTATTTAGGCGCTTGCAGGAGACTTGTTGGGTGTCGGCTTCGAAAGTCCATAGAATTTTCGTGTTACTTTTTTATCTTGTATGAACGTGGTTCGATTACTACTGAACTAAAATAAGAACGTTTAAAGGAAACATTTTTCAATTTAGCCAATATCTTGGCTCCCAAAATGTAGCTGAATTCTCGAAATTCCTTCTATATGATCATAAAATTTCAGTTCATACCTCACAGGAAACACATTAGGTCTCCGTTACAAAGATCATCCTTTTAATGCTGTTTAGGGAAAGAATCGCTGTTTATTGTGAGAACCACAAGAAACACACAAATACCGCAGGGCTTTAAGGAGTTGATATACATTCCCCAAAACGGGTCGTAAGTCGAGGTCATTCTGACATAGGAAACATAAGGTTACATTACTGCAGCTCAAAGGTCACACATATTTTTATGTATTTTAATCCATAGCATTCCACAATTTCATTGCTGTTATGAAATCAATAAGGGACATCAAATATTATGAGTGTGGTCCAATTTTATGCAAGGATATGTTTATGAAAACCTAGCATAATTCAAGACAAGTTTGCTCATAGAAATAAATGAAAAAGGGATGCAGTTTTTTTGGAAGGGGGTTCGCATTATTTCCAACTCTGAGCATAAAGTGAGATTTTATTAATATTTTTATATCGCACTATTTCAACTTCGCATAAATTGCGACCACAGTGCAGTATTAAGGGTTTGAACTATAAAAAAAATACGAGGAAGTTAATATGTTACCATGGATCGTTAGGAGTTACGATTCCAGGCGCCATTATGACATGGCGCAAAGCCCGAAATTCCAATTTCGAGTCTAAGTCCGAAAATTCGGAGCGTAAATCTAATTAACTCCCAAAAATTCGTTATTCGAGGTAGGACTGTACAGCAGTAGTGGTAACATGGCCTTGGTTGAACTTACCTGTCCCAGGTCGATGGTAAGGTTGACCTCGTTGTACTTCACACCGCGAGACAGAGGAGGACTTTGCCACCAGGTTTCAGCACCATCAACTGCGAACTGTGCGGGATGCGTCTTGTCGGGTTGGCTGGGGTCGCAGTAATCACACACCTGCAATGCAAAAGTCAGTCTCGTCACTTGGGAGGATATGATCTCCTGGTCTTTTATGGTCCATCGCAAACCGCGGATAACAAAATCGCGGTTTATAACACTAAGGCCTTGTGGGAAAATAAGCATTAGAGGAACTGTGGCCGTTAAGCGGCCTCCGTAGTCTAGAGGTAACGTTCCCACCTCATGACTCGTAGTACGCGGGTTCAAATACCCGACGGAGGTCGTCGAATTTTTAAGGGCGGAAAAATTCAGGGAACAAGTCCTCCGGGAGGGACTTTAAGCCGTGGGTCCCGTGTCGTAGCTTTACGGCACGTAAAAGAACCTCATATCTCTAAAGGAGGTCACTGAGGCAAATTAACGGACGTTTCCCGCCCAACAGAAGTCTCTAATACCTCTGGTAGATGGGGGAAGCATTATAGATACCTCTCAGCTAGTAGAGCCGGTCTAGCTGGCTGGGCGGGACTGATAGTAAGCACCAGTACCGGTAGGATATAGAGACTGGTAGAAATCATAGAGGGAAGCACAATGGACCAACACAGGTCTCAGTGCATGGGGAAACCCACCCTCTCCAATAACTAACTAACTAACTAACTGTGGCCGTTTAAATACTCATTAAAACCTAATCCAGTTACCTGTTCCTCCACTATACACAAAAAGTATGTAACAACAATAAGGTGGGGCAGTCGGTAGCGCAGTTGGTTGAGGCACTGTGCTACAAGCCGGAAGGTCGCAGGTTCTATTCCCCGATGAAGTCACTGGATTTTTCAATTGACTTAATCCTTCCATCCGCACTATGGCGCTGGGATCGACTCAGCCTCTAACGGAAACGAGTACCAGGAATCTTCCTAGAGGTAAAGGACGGCCGGCGCGTAAGGCTGGCAACCTTACCGCCATCTGTGAGCCGATTGTCTGGAAAATGTGGGGGGCCTCGACGTCTCACAACCCCGTGAGCCTCCACAGACTGTTAAGGTATAGTTTATTTTCTTTTTTACTACCCGTAACTGACACCTGGCCAATGTATTCCAAAAGAGGGGGGTTATGCAGTTCACTAAATGAACGCATAATGAAAAGGTCGCCTTCGTCTCTCCATATGTTGCGTCTAAGGGACTACCTGTGGGACACCTGAAGATTTCTGAAAGCGGCTTTGCTGGTCGCACATATTTCACTGTTGTTCGGCATTTAGTAACCAACAACTTTCTACCAACCAACAATCCGTCTTATTTCCTAGATAACATGTTCAAGGTCACTCGTACTGGAGAAGGAATGAACAATGTCTCTACTTGTGGTCTCTACATCACTTTTTTTTTATTGTTACCGCATATGAGAATATACAAAAGTATAATTTTGCCTGTAGTTCTGTATGGGTGTGAAACTTGGTCTCTGACATTAAGGGAGAAACACAGACTGAGGGTGTTTGAGAACAGGGTGTTGAGGAGAATATTTGGACCGAAGAGAGATGAAGTGACAGGAGGTTGGAGAAAACTGCATAACGAGGAGCTTCATGTACTCTTCTCCAAGTGTAATTAGAATGATCAAGTCAAGGAAGATGAGGTGGGCAGGTCATGTAGCACGGACGAGGAATGCGTATAGCATATTGGTGGGAAAGCCAGAAGGAAAGAGACCACTGTGAAGACCAAGGCGTAGGTGGGTGGACAGTATTAAAATGGTTCTCAGAGAGAGAGGATGGGATGGTATGGATTGGATATATCTGGCTCAGGATAGGGCCGAGTGGAGGGCTCTTGTGAACACGGTAATGAACCTTCAGGTTCCATAAAATGCTGGGAAATTCTTGAGTAGCTGCAGAATTGGCGGCTCCTCCAGAAGGGCTCAGCTCCATGAGTATGTAAGTACCGCATATGAGTATGCGTCGGTGACGCACCGCGATATGTAGCCGGTCATTGGCCAATCTATGCGCATGCGTTAGCGACACTGAGAAATGAATGGTAATGTTATTATTCCCATCTTATTTCAGAGGCTTCAGAGTGTGTGCAGCGTATTATTATTACCCATATTAACGAAGACCGGCAAGTTGTATACTTAAGTTTATGTTTGTGTTCTCACTATTATTTCTGGCGAGGAAGAATTGTTTCATTACAAACATGACCCGCAAGAATTCCTAAATGATGCATCACCAATTAAACACCCCTTTCGTCGCGTGGGGGGGGGGTTCACTAACACATGTATATAAGAGCAATACTCGTTTCTCTCTCGAGTTATGGCCGAGGTTTTGTTGGCGCAACGATAGCAAGGCACAATGCTAGCAAATAGGCTTCAATTGTGCTGATCCAAGCAGCAATTATTGCCCATGTACGTACAGGCCCAGACAAATCTTAGTGCATTTGTTTCATTTCTCGCTTTCTGTCCAGTATATTCTCTCAGAGTTTTCCAAACTTTAGACATCTGTGATCTTTCAGAAACGTCATACTCATAAAGCTGTTCCATAAGAAACACGAGCTTTGGACGATCAAAAAATGGCCACGTAATTATCTTACATTGTTTAAATAATTCATATACGTAGGATTAGAGGCGGGTGTACCTTGTGAAAGCGGAAACGAAAAGCATGAATGTCTAAAATTTCCCGGATGTCTTTTTCGCTCTTCGGCAATTCGTCTATACTGCAAGAAATTTTCGCTGTGTCAATGAATGGATCACAAGGCCGTTCGCCTTCTCTGACACGGTACACAATAACCAAATGCAAGGTTCGCCGTACTTTAGGCTTAGCTCACATGACGCATAGACCACCTTACCAAGCACGCAGCTATCTGGCGCCTACAGATCAGTATCAGTGGTAAACGTCGCACCACGCCATGAAGACTTGCAGAGGAACGGATTTACGTCTCCACTATACTCTGTGCTGACAGTAAGAGGAGAATGGTCAGCTTCACGTCTAGGCCGCTTTACCCCCGGAGGAAGAGTCCCCAATATCCATTTGATAGAAGGCTTGGTAGGCTCTATGAAGAGAAAAATATTGTGCCCCTACCGGGAATCGAACCCTGGCCGTCCAGCCCAAATCCGTCGCTATGCCGACTGAGCTGAGTTATATTTATCAGGAATGTTGACTGGAGCATCAGTAAGGAATCACGGCCGCCCCAAGGATTCTTTCATGGAGTAGGGGGGCAACCATAAAACTAGCTTAGAAACATACGATTAAGCCGTTTATGACTAGTACTACTGATCAACAAACAAATAAACTCCGTGGTTTTATCACACAAGTGAAATATACCGACTGAGCGACCGCTGCTTGCAGGCAAAGTTAGTGCAAACTTTAGCGGATAGAGGTTGTCGCGTGGTCAGCGCAACGAATCCCCACGGCCGTTAATTTCCTTGAAATAGCTCCTCAGTTATCCTCACGAGGCTGAGTGGACCCTGTTCCAGAGCAATTACTTCTCAGAATATCTGGTAGCCCCGGGAATCGAACCCAGACCTCTGGATCTGTAGCCAGAAACTCTGACCAATAGACCACAGAGGCGTTCCTACTTAATTAAGCAGAGACAATTGTACCTTTACAAATCCCTGTGCTTCATTAAGCACCACGCCATGATGGCGTATTGCTCCATTGCATTCTTAAGCTCGATGTTAAATGTGAGTGGTCAGCTTCACGTCCCAGCCGCTTTACCTCCAAAGAATGAACTCCGGTTTCCAATGGAGAGGAGAACCAAAAATCTGTGAAGAGAAAAATCTTTTGCTTCGCCCGGAATCATAACCTAACTTCTTCTTCGTCCAGCCCGTAACCTAGTCGCTTTACTGACCGACCTATCACGGCCCCAGAGATCGGCAGTGAAGTACGTGATCCCTATTCTTTACGCGCCATGAGAACGAGGGTACGTCATCTCCAGTTCTTGGGACAGGCAGTTACTAAATTATATTTTCAACATATAGTAAGCCCTAGCTAATCCAGTTACAGGTAATCCCGATGTTGGATAATTCGAATCGAAATATGAAAAATGCCGTTCACAGTTCAGCACGTACTTTAAAAGACCCATGGTAGTCAGGAAGAAAGGTCAATCACTTGTCAGTTCACACACAACTTGACAGTTTCTTCAAATCTGCATTATTACGTTCAAAAACAAGTTCAACTTATTCTCCTTCTTCTGTTAGTCCCATTTGGAGCATGGGGCATCCTTGAAACGCTTCGTTTCACTTCAGTCTCTTAATCTAAGACAGTCGGTAGGACTCCTTGGACGGGGGATCAGCCTATCGCAAGGCCGCTATCTAACACATACACAGTAAAGTAAAAAAAAAAAAGTAAGTAAAGCTATCCCTGTACCAGGCCTTGAAGACCCATAGGGTTGTGAGATGTTGAGTGTCCCACATTATCCAGACAATCGGCTCAAAGATGGCGATAAGGTGTCAGCCTTACGTGCCGGCGGAAAATTATTTAATTAATTCCTGGTACTCATTTCTGTTAGAGGCTGAGTGAACCCCAGGGCCATAGAGCGGCTGGAAGGATTAGGTCAATAGAAAAAAATTCAATGACCTCATCGGGACTTGAACCTTCCGGCTTGTAGCATAGCGCCTCAACAAAATGAACACAAAAATAAATCCATGCCTCGAGTCAGATTCGAACCCATGATCCCAGTGTTCGAGGAGAAGACGGTTCATGCCTCAGACCGCGCGGCCACTGTGATCGGCTCTGAGTCTTCTATCGATGAATAAATGTACTGACTTTTTAGAGTTTGTAAATAAAGGCTCTACAGTGATATTTCTTTATTTTCATCAGCACTGCTTACGTCATTAAATTTTACATTTGTATGAGTTCTACTTTTTTTTTATTTTAGGGCTATTTTTGCTTCACAAATACGGATTATCACTTAATCCGGATGGCCTCTCTCTCCCACCCAACCAAATTACTCCGGATTAGCCGGGGTTTAACTATACTTCGCCGGTGCGATATCCAAACATACTTATACAGATCCTTCCGTCCGTAAACGGAACGATAGTAACAAAAAAACTATTTTATTCATGGAGAAATCAAGTCAATTTAAACTCTGATACTTGCT